AAATTGTGTACTATGATGGCATTCCCACAATGCACCACTGGGTCCCAGATTTTTTTCCTACTGCGCACACCCACCACACAGACCCATTCTCTCACATCTAGGCTTATCAGCCTTTTCCTGTGAGATTTGAGGCCGCTAGAATTTATGCGTACTAGTACGACAAAAACCCCTACGCGTAAGACGTACTAGTACGACGAAAACCCTCAAAGGGTTAATGCAACACTTTATTGCTGGCTGGCACTATAGCCTTTACTGACTCCTGCTGCTTTAGTATTGTACATATCGCAGAATCACTGAAGAAGGCACATTCTCCCCTCTCTCTCAGCCCTTTACCAAAGGGCTGGCTGGCACTAGGAACCTTCTTTGGTGGCTTATTTAGCAGTTGCAAGCTCTAAAAAGAATGGAATAATACGAAATGTATCGTATGAACGTGTGGGATCGCGCTCACTGGCTGATAAACAATGGAACACTCAGTGTCAGGCTGCTGTTGCCGTGTGGACGCATTCGGGATGACTATTACCAAGCTCAATGATGATCACCAAGCCAATATTTTGATGAAAAAAGTTACGATTTCCGAATATTATGAAATCCAACGACTACAACATCCGGGGGTTCAGTCAATAAACGATCTAAAAACAAATAAATGAGAGAAAGAAAATGAATAAATGGGAGAGGACACAGCTGCAGAGTATGTAAACAAATACAAATGCATCTGGTTTTGGTTGATACATGTTCACTCCTATGTCTGTAAATCTTATACCATAATACAAACACATTACATTGTGAACAAGTTGTCTCCACACTGGTAAAGTAGAATACATAAAGAGCAACACTCCTATTCTCATGTAACATACCATTTTTAGAAGGAATAACGCTCTGAGTGAAGGCATATGAAAGGAATAATTTTCTAGTTAGCCCCAGTAATACACCTACTATCCGACTTATGACCTGCTCGACATACATCCACTCGACTTACGACTGTGCATCTGGCAACTGGGCTGGGCTGGCTGATGCATACCGCTGTACAATATTTGACCAATACTCACGGGAACGCGCCATGCAGGCAGCATCAGTTTGAGTTACCCTGCCCTATCAGCAGCGTCATACTGTATTAACTGTACTAATTGGACAGTAAATTTCACCATGGCCCCTAAGAGGAAGTTTGAATCTTGCACTGGAGATAGTGGCAAGAAGGCAAGAAAGGCTCTTACTCTCGAACTCTATTTGTTTTCACTGTTGCACATAAACCAGTCTGTATCTGTCTGCCTGTACTCGCCTAATTGTGGTTGCAGGGGTCGAGACTCAGCTCCTGGCCCTGCCTATCTGTCTATGTCTGTATCTGTCTCTGTATCTGTCTGTCTATCTGTCTGTCTGTCTGTCTGTGCTTATCTGTCTTTATGTCTTCCCATTGTGAATCTGTCTTTCTGTCTACCTGTGTGCCTGTCTTTCTGTCTGCTTGTCTCTCTGTCTCAGAGCCGCTCATGGACCAACAGGTATTACACATGAAGTAGAGTTGTCACATCTTCAATATGACGCTAATATCACTCTATGGCTTATTTATATATCATAATTCATCTAATATGACATAATAAACAGTATAAATAACATAAAAACCTGATATACACTCTAGAATAAATAAAATATGAAGTAAACTGCTTTAAATGCCGCATCTTGCGCCTGTGCTGGCGTGCAGGTACACATTAAAATCATTAAGAGTGTGTTATTGGTCTTGAAGATGCCATAATAATAATGATAATAATAACACAATAATAATAACTCTGAGGCACATTAAATGTGTATAAAACATTAATATAGACATTTTGCTTAATCCATCTATGATTTTTTTTCAAAATTATATAATAACACACTACGTAACATATAAACATATAAATTAACATAAATATGAAATTTTTTCCAGTCGGCTTGACGGAGTGAACAAAAACCATTTGTGTCCGGGCTGGTAACAACAACTGGTTTGTTTACAAAACTCGCGAACCTTCTACACTCTCGTTCTCTCTCTCGTTTATTCATTTAATCTTGTTTACTCACCTCGCACTCTACATTAACACTATATATATTTTAAGTAATGAGTGAACACTATTATTATTACATTATATTTTAATAATAATAATAATAATAATAATTACTATTATTATTATTATTAATTTAGGGCACTGGAGCACAGATCCACTGTACAGCATTTTGTGTGGATTTTTTGGGTTATCCTAGGTACATGACTCAAGAAATCGTAATGACACGATTGCAAACAAACCATACCCCCGGCCGGGATTGAACCCGCGACAGGCTGGAGTTTTGAGACTCTATGACCGCGGGTTCAATCCCGGCCGGGGGTATGGTTTATCCTAGGTAATTTACACTATGTATGATAACTTTACTTATGTGTACCTGTGAGAGAGAGACAGAGATAGAGAGAGACAGATACAGATGGAGAGACAGTCAAAGTCAGTCAGCCAGGCAGCCAACCACCCACCCACCCACCCAGCCGGCTGGCCGGCCTGCTAGTCAGCCAGCCGAATATGTATTACACATGTTCCTGAGTCGTTTCTCTTTACTTAGGGCATAGATAATAGGACATTCTGGAAGGATGACACTTCCAGTGGTATTCTCCCATTATATTGTGTCAACAAAACTTAAAGATAACAGTAACATACGATGCTGTATGAGATGATGTAAAATTTACAATACAGTCTACTACCATGTATACATAATACATACACAATACATAAATGATTAAAATAAATCAACAGAAGTACATTATGGTAAAAAGAATGAAATAATGATAGTACATTGCATTACAGTACTATTTAGTTAGTTTATATAGCAAAGGTTTGACACTATGCCCCACCCACTATGTCGGCAATTTTCAAATGTTCGACTTACGTCCAATTTGACTTACAACCAGTTGGTCGGAACCAAGCTCGGTCATAAGTCGGATGGTAGGTTTATTATGGTATACACATTTTCTTCAGTGTTGAAGCAGAGAAAAAATTATTCTTTCTGACACTGACTGGAAAAACATCTCATATTTATGTTAATTTATTTTACTGTGGGTGTATTTATCATGTTTATATGTTATGTAGCATGTTTATTAAATAATTTTGAAAAAATATTATAGATTAATCAAAATGCCCATATTAACCCTTTCAGGGTCTGTCCCGTAGATCTACGGCTTTACGTTCAGGGTCCAAACCGTAGATCTACGCCGTGAGCTCAGCTCACTCTGATAAACTGTGAGTGGTAAATTTGGGCCTAGATATGAGAGAATACATCTATGTGGTATGTGTGCACCACATAAAACAGATCTTGCAGCACACAGTGTATAATGAGAGAAAAACAAACTGAGACAGTGATTTTCGATTAAAACCGACTTTGCAGTGTTTTTTCGTATGTTTTTTATAGTTGTATTTGTGATTTCTTGGTCTCATTTGATAGAATGGAAGACATATTACAGAAATAGAGATGATTTTGATTGGTTTTAGCACTGGAAATGGCTTGAAACTGAGCTCAAAGTAGCGGAAATGTTAAATTTTTGCCGATGTTCAAGAGTAAACAAACGACCTCACACGTCTAATACACGCCAGCTGGTGGGTCTCATATACATTAACAAATGTGGTGATGATATTTATACAATTATTACAATATTGCATAACAGTACATCTTCTATTTTTTGGTGTGAATAAAAATTCATTATGTGAATAAAAAATCAAAATGGAATTTATTTGTAAAGCCTCAAAACATAACTAATGAACAGAGGAAATGTTAGTTTACTGCCAGGAATACCTACATTGCTTATTCTCAACCCTATTTTGAAACTGGAATATTTTGAACTTTGTGTTAAATTGGCTAAATTACCAATTTCCGATCACTTTATTTTGTCGTTGAAACAGTTGACTTGGTGATTTCCTGTGCTCAATCGATAGAATAGAAGTAATACTAGTGAAATAGCTAAGAATTTGGTCGACTGGAATAATGTAATTGTCCTAAAACAGGAGTCAAAGTCGGCAAAATTGCCGATTCGTAAATATCGCTGACACATCAAAATTCGTGAGCATAATTTCGTCAATTTTCCATCAAATTTCGTACTTTTTATTTTATTACCTTCACAAACAGATTCTCTACCATTTCATAAGAAAAAATAACAAAATTTGTTTTTTTAAATTCTTGGACACTGGGGCACCACTTCAGATTTTGGCCTTGGACCCTGAAAGGGTTAATGTAATATATGACATTGTGATTATTAATGTGTAATTATCACTATTAATATGGCATCTTCAAGACTAATAAGACATTCTTAGTGATTTTTAATATGTACCTGCATGCCAGCACAGTGTGTAAGTTTATTTAGGTACAGGTACACATAAGTATAATTATCAGAGTATATATAAAATAACTTTAAAACACTTGAAATTTTGGAAAGTTTCCAGGCATAATGGAGAGTCATGCTCACGGAGAATGTAACAAACCAGGTGGCCTGCAGTGACCATATTATAAAGTCTGGCGGGGGAGCCGAATAGAGTTTTTTGGTCATAACCTGATATGTCTGTATTAGTGGAACACTGTAAAGCAAAACACCATAAAGCAGGGCCCTACTGTACAGTAAACCCTCAATATAATGGACTTTTAGAATTTTAGGCAAAATCCAATGGTTTAATTTCACTTTCATCTCCTTTATTTTCGTTGTTTATTGCAATACATCTAAATTGTGTGTTCAGTAGTATATTAGGTATACAACAGAGTATTTTACTGCACATTATACTGTCTTTCTATCAACATCATTTTGATATCAGAGACATATCCTATTAGTGCATAATACTGAGAGATTAGTGTTACCTAACAATAAGAAGAGGCTACAGAATAAATATTACTACTTTATAAAAATAATGAAGGAAATGAGAATCACTTACTTTAAAAGTGGCTAAATGTAGTACTAAATGAATGAATTACAACCAACATTAACTGGAGGAGAGAGTAAGACCTACGTGAAGGCTCCTGTGACCTGCAGAGAGAACCCCTGCAACACTATGACTGCAAGGACACCGTAAGTGTCCCCAACATGACGCAACTGCAGACGTACTGATCCTCCTCCACCAGGATGCATGAAAGCCCAGGTGATCATGTACTGTTCCTGCAAGCCCAACAACAATTAATTCTTCAGCATTTATTACTATACAGTAGTCCCCCTGCATCTGCAGGGGATATGTTCCAAGACCTACCATGGATACCTCAAACCATGGATAGAGGCCAGCCCTACATACAAGTCATTTTCCATTTACGCATTTTTTTTTTTTTAGCAAGTCAGCTGTCTCTCACCAAAGCAGGGTGACCCAAAAAGAAAGAAAATCCCCAAAAAGAAAATAGTTTCATCATCATTCAACACATTCACCTCACTCATACATAATCACTGTCTTTGCAGAGGCGCTCAGACAGGACAGTTTAGAAGCAAGTTCCTCCAAACTGTCACTATCAAAAACCCCTCCTTTAAAGTGCAGGCACTGTATTTCCCATTTCCACTCAAATCCAGCTAACCAGTTTCCCTAAATCATTTCAATAAATACAGTGGTCCCTTGATAATTGTCGGGCTCGATAGTCATCCTTTTCGGAAATCGTTGCTTTTTTTTGTCCAAACGTTGGCTCGCAAATGGTCGGTTGACTCGCTAATCGTCATTCGTCCTGGATGCGTACTCACGGCTCTGAGCCACCTTGGCCTCCCTTCCCACCCAGTGTGCCATTGTTTACCAGTAAGTGACGGTCCTCTCACTTGTTCATACAAAATATTTCATAATACAGTGGACCCCCGCATAGCGAACGCCTTGCATAGCGAACGCTTTGTTCGCTAAAATTTTGCCCCGCATAGTGGACAAAAACCCGCTCAGCGACCTTTGTCCGAGACGCGTCCAATGTGCGCCCTCAGCCAGCCTCACATGTGCCGCCCGTCCCATTGTTTACCAGCCAGCCTCCGCGGTAACATTCAAGCATACACTCGGAATATTTCGTATTATTACAGTGTTTTCGGTGCTGTTTGTGGAAAATAAGTGACCATGGGCCCCAAGAAAGCTTCTAGTGCCAACCCTACACCTCAAAGGGTAAGAATACCCATTGAAATGAAGAAAGAGATCATTGATAAGTATGAAAGTGGAGTACGTATCACCGACCTGGTCAGGTTGTACAAGAAACCAAAATCAACCATCGCTTCTATTGTGGGCAAGAAAACGGCAATCAAGGAAGCTGTTGTTGCCAAAGGTTTAACTGTGTTTTCAAAACAAAGATCGCAAGTGATGGAAGATGTTGAGAGACTCTTATTGGTGTGGATAAATGAAAAACAGCTAGCAGGAGATAGCGTCTCTCAAGCGATCATATGTGAAAAGGCTAGGAAGTTGCATGACGATTTAATTAAAAAAATGCCTGCAACTAGTGATGATGTGAGTGAATTTAAGGCCAGCAAAGGTTGGTTTGAGAGATTTAAGAAGCGTAGTGGCATCCATAGTGTGATACGGCATGGTGAGGCTGCCAGTTCGGACCACAAAGCGGCTGAAAAATATGTGCATGAATTCAAGGAGTACATAGAAACTGAAGGACTGGAACCTGAACAAGTGTTTAATTGTGATGAAACAGGCCTGTTCTGGAAGAAAATGCCAAGCAGGACCTACATTACTCAGGAGGAAAAGGCACTCCAGGACATAAGCCTATGAAAGACAGGCTTACTTTGTTGATGTGTGCCAATGCTAGTGGTGATTGCAAAGTTAAGCCTTTATTAGTGTATCACTCTGAAACTCCCAGAGCGTTCAGGCAAAAGAATGTCCTCAAGGATAATTTGTGTGTGCTGTGGAGGGCAAACAGTAAGGCATGGGTCACTAGGGAATTTTTCTATAACTGGTTACACCATGCATTTGCCCCCAATGTGAAAGATTACCTAACTGAAAAGAAATTAGACCTTAAGTGCTCCTGGTGTTAGACAATGCCCTGGTCATCCTACAGACGTGGCAGAGCGACTTTATGGGGACATGAGCTTCATTAAGGTGAAGTTTTTGCCTCCTAATACCACTCCTCTCCTGCAGCCCATGGACCAGCAGGTCATTTCCAACTTCAAGAAACTGTACACAAAAGCTCTGTTTCAAAGTGCTTTGAAGTGACCACAGACACTCGACTGACTCTAAAAGAGTTTTGGAAGGATCACTTTAATATCCTCAATTGTGTAAACCTTATAGGTAAGGCTTGGGAGGGAGTGACTAAGAGAACCTTGAACTCTGCTTGGAAGAAACTGTGGCCAGAATGTGTAGACAAAAGGGATTTTGAAGGGTTTGAGGCTAACCCTGAGAGGAGTAGTATACCAGTTGAGGAATCAATTGTGGAATTAGGGAAGTCCTTGGGGTTGGAGGTTAGTGGGGAGGATGTGGAAGAGTTGGTGGAGGAGGACAATGAAGAACTAACCACTGATGAGCTGATAGATCAACTTCAAGAGCAAGAGGCCAGACCTGGGGAAACTGGTTCAAAGGAGGGGAGAGAGAAATTGAAGGAATTGCCTACTTCAAAGATTAAGGAAATGTGTGCAAAATGGCTTGAAGTGCAAACCTTTTTTGATGAAAATCACCCTCACACAGCTATTGCAAGCCGTGCTGGTGACTGTTACAATGACACTGTTGTGAACCACTTTAGACAAATCATAAAGGAACGAGAGGTACAGGCCACTATGGACAGATATGTCGTGCGAAAGAAGTCCAGTGACTCTGAAGCTGGTCCTAGTGGCATTAAAAGAAGAAGGGAAGTAACCCCAGAAAAGGACTTGCTACCTCAAGTCCTAATGGAAGGGGATTCCCCTTCTAAACACTAACACTCTCTCTCCCCTCCTCCCATCCCATCAATCATCACCAGATCTTCAATAAAAGTAAGTGTCATGTAATTGTGCATGCCTTTTTCAGTTTGTGTGTACTAAAATTAACATTTTTTTGTGGTAAAAAAAATTTTTTTTCATACTTTTGGGTGTCTTGCACGGATTAATTTTATTTCCATTATTTCTTATGGGGAAAATTAATTCGCATAGCGAACATTTCGCATAACGACCAGCCCTCTTGCACGGATTAAGTTCGCTATGCGGGGGTCCACTGTATGTATTCCATTCATTTTAGTGCTTGCAAGTGCTAAATAAGCTACCATGGCTCCAAAGAAAGCTCCTAGTGCCAAGCCTTTGGTAAAGAAGGTGAGAAATACGATTGAATTTAAGAAAAACATCATTGAACAATATGAAAGTGGCGTACGTGTGGCCAAACTTGCCAGGATGTATAAGAAACCCCATACAAACATATCTTCCATCGTGGAAAAGAAAAAAGAAATCAAGGAAGCTGTTGTTGCTTGGAGAAAATTGTGCCCAGATTGTATTCACAAGAGGGATTTTGAAGGGTTTGTGGCTGACCCTGATGAGCCTATGTCAGTTGTGAAATCTATTGTGACATTGGGGAGTTCCATGGGGTTGGATGTGAGTTTGCAGGATGTGGAAGAGTTGGTGGAGGACCACAATGAAGAGCTAACCACTGAGGAGCTGCAAGAGCTTCAGCAGGAACAGCAACAGATTGCAGCTCAGAATCTTGCTGCAGAGGAGGAGGAAGAGAGATGGAAGAAGGTGCATTCTTCAGAAATTAAGGAGATTTTTAAAATGTGGGGTAGGATGGAAAGATTTATGGAGAAACATCACCCTGAGAAGGATGTTGCAAGCCATATCGGCAACTTGTACAGTGACAAAGTCTTGGCCCATTTTAGGGAAGTTTTAAAGAGATGCCAGAAACAGAGCTCTCTGGACACTTTTTTTTTGGAAGACAGGACTCCAGTGACTCTCAAGCTGGTCCTAGTGGCATTAAGAAACAGAGAAGAGAAGTATGTAACCCCAGAAAAGGACTTGATACCTGTGGTGTTGATGGAAGGGGATTCCCCTTCCAAACAGTAACTAATCCAATCTCTCTCCTCCTCCAGTCTTCCATACACTAAGAATCGCCAATAAAGGTAAGTGTTATGCTGTTAATGTTTCATTCATCATGTCCCATTGTATTGTTTATGTACTGCATCTATATTTGATGTAAAAAAATTTTTTGTTTAAATACTTTTGGGTGTCTTGAATGAATTAATTGTATGCATTTACATTATTTCTTATGGGGAAAATTGATTTGAAAATCGTCTATTTCGATAATCGTCGCACTTCCAGGAACAGATTAACGACGATAAACGAGGGACCAGTGTATTACCCAGCTCACACTCCAACAGCTCGTCAGGTCCCAAAAATCATTTGTCTCCATTCACTCCTACCTAACATGCTCACACACGCTTGCTGGAAGTCCAAGCCCCTCACCCACAAAACCTCCTTTACCCCCTCCCTCCAACCTTTTCAAGGATGACCCCTACCCCTCCTTCCTTTCCCTACAGATTTATACGTTCTCCAAGTCATTCTACTTTGATCCATTCTCTCTAAATGACCAGACCACCTCAACAACCCCTCTTCAGCCCTCTGACTAATACTTTTAGTAACTCCACACCTTCTCCTAATTTCCACACTCTGAATTCTCTGCATAATGTTTACACCAAACAGTGCCCTTAGACAAGACATCTCCACTGCCTCCAACTGCCTAGTCACTACAGCATTTACAACCCAAGCTTCACACCCATATAAGAGTGCTGGTACCACTATACTTTCATACATTCCCTTCTTTGCCTCCATAGATAACGTTTTTGTCTCCACAGATATCTCAACACACCACTCACCTTTTTTCCTTCATCAATTCTGTGGTTAACCTCATCCTTCATAAACCCATCCACTGACAAGTCAACTCCCAAATATCTGAAAGCATTCACTTCTTCCAATACAATGCCCAAGTTTCAATAAGATAGCCCAACAAACAACTGAGAAAAAAAAAATTATTTACAAAAAATCATATATGGCAAGCCCAAGCCAGGTACAATAGGGCCCCGTTTTTCGGTGTTTCACCTTACGGCGTTCCACTAATATGGCAATCTCAAATTATGACCAAAACTTTCTATACGGCAAGTGGTCTTTCAAATGCAGCGCATGCCACCCGGTTTCTTTACATTCTCCATGAGCACATCTCTCTGTTATGTAATGATAATCACTCTTGGGCACATTAA